GACTTACGCACTGGCCATATAGGGCTATTAAAGGGTGAGCGAGTCTTGCTGAGCACCCCCTGGGTCTCCAGTTCACGGATCATCTTATGTATAGGGGTCACAGAGTCTCGGTCGGTGCGGTATTGCCGACGGTGCACTGTTGCTGTGGCTATTGGTACCAATTGTTCTTCAACCTTCAGCAGTCCCACAGCAGAGGGGTCCTCTGAGAGACCAGGCAAGGTGTTCAACTGTCTAATTTCCTCCGTCTCCACAGCAGCTATGCCAAAAGCCCAACGAAGTCCTTTTGGGTCTTTGAAATCCCCACTCCTCAGGTAATCTATGCCAAGGATGCACGGGGCCTCTGGGCCAGTCACGATGGGGTGTCTGTGCCATTCCTTCCCAGTCAGGCTCACTTCAGTTTCCAGTACAGTCAGCTGTTGGGATCCCCCTGTCACCCCAGAAATGGAGATGGATTCTGCCCCTACGTATCTTGATGGCATTAAAGTACATTGTGCGCCGGTGTCCACTAAGGCCTTATACCTTTGTGGCTCTGATGTGCCAGGCCACCGAATCCACACTGTCCAATAGACTCGATTGTCCCTCTCCTCTACCTGGCTAGAGGCAGGGCACCCCTAGTCCTGGTCATGGTACTCATTGTGCTCTTCTTGTGGGTATGACCTGGAGGTCCCTTCAAGAGGATCAGACGTATCATCATTCCTGTACCGTCTGGAGTTTTGCCCACGAGAGACTGGAGCAGCGTTTACCCTTGAAGAGTTCCTTGTGGTACTTGTTCCTCTTTTCAGTTCACGTACCCGGGCTGCTAAGGAAGGGGTGGGTTTCCCATCCCACTTCCTCATATCTTCTCCGTGCTCACGGAGGTAAAACCATAGATCGCCACGTGGAGTGTACCTTCTCTCCTTAGCTGGGGGACGCTGGCTCCTAATAGCAGAGACTCTTGTTTGTCCTGGTGAGATATGGAAGATCCCTTCCTTAATTTCCTCTCTTAGCTTCTGGTGTCCCTCTTCAATTTTCTCTTCCAGGCTTCGGACGTGTTCAGCCAGTTTGGTTTCCACAGATGAGACGTGGGCTCGTAATGGGGCGGTGACAGTGTCTTCATACATCCTGAGTTTACTAACCAATGCTCCCACCTTGTCCTCTCCCTCCCTCCATTGCAGCGTTGCTAAGTAGCGGGAATACATTTCTGGCCCGAGTCGTGCAAACTTTAACCACATCTGGGAGGTGCACTGTACGCCATCTGGCCTTTTAGGGAATCTTTCATCGTCTGAAAAGATTATCTCCAGTACAGCTAACTCCCTTAAGCACCGGATACCTTGTTCCATCGTGTTCCACTGTCCTTGCTGTACGTGGAGGTCCTCCTTGCAAAGGTATCTCTCCCTCACACTGCACAACAGTCGCCGCCAGAGGCTGAGAGTTTCCTGCCTCCTTCCAATCCCCTGATCAATGACTACATCTCGAGACAGGGACCCCAGCTGTCTGGCTTCACTCCCATCTAGGATTGTATCGTTAGCTGCAGCATCCCAGATTCGGAGCAGCCAGGTCAGAATGGACTCGTTCGCCTGTCGTGTGAACTCGCTCCGGAGCTCGCGTAGCTCACCCAGGGATAGGGACCGAGTGATTATTTCTGGCTCTGTCTCCTCCAGTGGATGTGAAGGTCCTGCCTCTTCGTCATCATTTGCTATACGGACTGATTTAGTCTTTGATTTCCTTTTCTGGACAGGGGCGACTGCTATTGGTTTTGGTTGTTCTTCTGGCTCCTCGATGGTTTGTGTGGACACGGTGCCGGTTGGTTTATTTCTTTCTCCCTCTGACTCAGCTGTGGTTTGGGTGGACGTGGTGCCTGCAGATTTGGTCCTTCTCTCCTCCCCCTGACAGTGCTGTACCATGTCAAGTAGTGTCCGGTAGGCAGTGGCCAGGGCCCAGCAGGTTGCTGTGAGCTGGCCATCTCTGGAGCTGCCAGAGCATTTTTCCTTCACCAGTCTTATCATGCTAACAGGATCCTGCAGTTGTTCAGGGGTGAATTTCCAGATCATTGGAGGAGAAAACTTCTCCAAATACTGGCTGATGTCCTCCCACTTCCCGTGCCACTCAGCATTATCTGCTCCCAGGGCAGGTGTCCAAACAACCTCCCTAGAAGGCCCTGTTCTGACCCTAAACATGGTGTACACAGTACAGAGCAGACAGAGCAACACTAACAATAACATTATGCTGTCCTTAACATCAAAAGGGAACTCAATATTTTCAAAAACTGTTGTAGCAGGTCTGAAGGGGAAAAAGGAGGTGAGAGGTTGGAAACAACCATCCCCCCCTGTTCCCCCAAAGGGCTGGGTACGATTTTTAATGAGGCCCCAGAGGTAGCAACCCAAACCAGGACAGGCAAACAGGACTGAATACACATTTACAATGAAACTCATTGCTTCTGATGTTAGAATGACATAAACATAATATACTAATAAAGCAATTTGGATCCCTTTCCCTGGTCTTAAAGAGAGCATCAAAACAGGCAAATAGTGCCCCATCTGTGGAAATATGAACAGGCTCAAATACAACATCCATGTGAATGCATCAAACAACATGGTGATCAGGGAGTTTCTATATCCAAATAGACAAATGCTTAAAGTGAAATTGTGATTCTGACTTCTCTCTCTCTGCCCCACGTTGGGCGCCAAAATGTGCTGGTTTAAGAGTTAACCAGCAGGGGAAATGAACTCAACTCAAAGGAGAGATTATAAGTCAGAATAACAATTTACTAAAATAATACAGTAAGTACAATCATACAAACAAACAATTGGTCTTAACCCACAAAACCCAAATGTATAACCCAGTACCCTGGGGCATGAACAACGTGGTGTTCCTTGGGCCCCGCTTGAGTCCAAAGTAAAGGGAGAGGGGAAGAACCTGCTGGTGGGAGAGCTGTTGCAGTCTGGTCAAAAGTGGTGATTGCAGTGAGATGCTGGGGGAAGAGCTGTTGCAGTCTGGTCAAAGTGGTGATTGGAGTCCAGTATAGGGTGGTGGTCCAAGTCTGTTTGAGAGCGATGAGCCGCAGTCCTTCTCTGGATCCCACAGAGTGGTTCAAAATGTTCCAAGACTCCAAGATTATATATCCTGCAGTTCAGGCAGAAATGCTCAGCACTTCCCTCAGGGCGGGGAGTTCCACAAAGGGTGTGAGGACAGGAGCATCCTCCTATCTCACAGGCCTCTTAACACCTAGTTTATAGCCTGAGGAGTCAGGCTCTATGGGCAGATGGTGTAAATGGTTCATTGATAACAGTTTCTGGGAAATGGCATGGAAGGCTATAGAATACACAGTTTTGGGTTACACCCATACCCTGATGAACTGGTCTCAGTTGTCCTAACTAGGACACTTTTGTTGTAGCTTAGTCCTCCGCAATATAAGAAAGATATTAAGCTGTTAGAGAGTTTCCAAAGGAGGGCAACAAAGATGGTGAAGGGCCTTGAGGGGAAGCTGTATGAGGAGTGGCTGAGGTCACTTGGTCTGTTCAGCCTGGAGAAGAAGAGACTGAGGGGAGACCTCATTGCAGTCTACAACTTCATCATGAGAGGAAGAGGAGGGGCAAGCACTGATCACTTCTCTGTGGTGACCAGTGACAGAACACAAGGGAAGGGCCTGAAGTTGTATCAGGGGAAGTTTATGTTGGATATTAGAAAAAGGTTCTTCATCCAGTGGCTGGAACAGGCTCCCCAGGGCAGTGGTCACAGCACCAAGCCTGACAGAATTCAAGAAGCATTTGGATGGTACTCTCAGGCACATGGTGTGACTCTTGGGGCTATCCTATGCAGAGTTGAGTTGGACTTGATGATCCTTGTGGATCTCTTCCAGCTCAGCATATTCTGTGATGTAAGGCATTCAGAAAAATAAAGATGATTATGAAGAAGGCACAGCCTTACACCATGAAGTGCATCTACATTTTTGTCAAGATGCAGAATGACCAATTTTCCAAAAAGAAGAGAACTGTAGCATAACAGAGTTGGTAATGTCTCCAGCAACAATCTTTTATTGAAAACTGTTGTGAATAAGTTATAAATTACACTTGCACCTAATACTAAGGATTCATGTTCATCCACACTTCCAGCAGTTTAACACAGCCTTCATTCTTCGTGGTGGAAAAATACAACTCTTTCTATCCATTTTAATCCATATATGGCAAATTAAATTCAGAATATATTACACGTGTCAAAAAGTATGTATTTTCAAATCAAAAGAAGAGAGGATGAGGGTGAGGAAATGATACCCACAGAGAGTGAGGACTCAGTTTACTGTCAGACTTTTATTACAGATGTTTTTAAGCCTGCTACTTATCTCCACTGCATGCACTAACCCAAATGAGAGAAGCAATGTTCTCTTTTACTGAAGACCAACTAGACAATTTGGTTGAGTTGATTGCTGAAAAGAGCTTCCTTTTCGCCCCTTAAAGGAATGAAGTCTTCTTAAAAGAAATTGTCAAAATTGTATTGCCTATCATAGAAAAAGTGGAAGACTTTTCAATTTTTTTTCTTTTTATTTTAAATACTTCAGAAAACAAAAGCCTTCTGCCTTTAAAACAGCTTTTAAGCTCCAAAATGCATGTTGTTCCCACATGATGTAAATTCTTCTCTAAAACAAAGATAACAGCAAGACTGACTTACTCCAGTAATGGTATTTTCAGCAAGAATAATTTATTATTCTTAAACCTGACATTACTTTTAATATAAGTGAAATTTATAAATCTTCAAACTTAAGTTTAAAAACAAACAAGTGTAAAATACCAGATTATGAGGAAGCAATTCAAGTTTGACTTCAAAGAGATCTTATCAACTAAGATCTTCCACTACAGGTGATTGATGTTATGCCTTATGTTACAGACATTAATTGGCAGCTTTTTTCTTGTATTTTTTGATCTTCCTCACGTGAACACAGAAAAAGAAAATAATAAATATTTTCTTAAGTAGCTTTTACTTATTCTTGTCCCAAGCAGCAAGTGTGGGACTTGTGTGTCCTTCTTCGTACAGCTTATTCAGCAAGGCTTTAAGTTCTCATACTTTTCTTCAATATGCATGTGCAGACAAACCACAAGACACTGGAGTTTCACACACAGCTACACAGTGCTACAGGGATAATACGAAATACTGCTAGTCAGTGTACTGAACATGTTCATCCGTTCTTGGAAAAGGCATAAATATGATGTGCACAGGCCAGGTACGAAGCTGCCTTTCTTCCAGATCCTCCCTTCCTGGGTATTTAAAAAGCAAACAAACAAACCACAACACCTTATTGATTTATTATCAGTCAAAAGTAAACATCCCAAGTATTAAAAAAAAAAACCCCTCAGAACACTTGTGTCAGACAGTTGTAAGTAATGGCACAGTAAGACAAAGCTTCTACCCATGAAGTGAAACCTGTGTTGATGACTGTAGCCCAACATGGATCTCACAGGGTTGAACAACCACGCAAGGCTGCAAATCTTAACCATAATCAATCTATTTTAAGTACCTACAAAAGGCTGATTTTATTAAGAATACACTAAGTAAAACTACTGACATACATTTCCATTTCTAAAAACAGATTATACCTTCAACAGAAGGTCACTTAAGGACTTTTTTGGACTGTGGCACCAGCCAACAGGTTGAGTAACTCCCACTCTGTGCTTTGTTTTACTAATCTGTTCAACCCATCAAGCATCTACTTTAAGAAGAGCCTCTTATTGGCCACTACAAGAGATCCAAACCACACAAAATTTAAGAAAACCCTGAAAGGTATTGTCAAGACTTCTCCAACGCAAAATGGTAACTCAGAAGTTGCTACTCCTTCTATAAAGGGGGTAAGCAAAAGCTCTTATCTTGTTTGCACCATTTTGTTTCTCTACTACTATTAAAAATCCATGGAGAAGAACCATTTCCACACCATTCAGCAAAAGGAAAATATTTCTAGAACAGGTTTAACTATCAAATAAGCTAAACTTGGAATGCAAAGGGCAGGCCAAGTTTCTGCCACAGCTCAGACAGGCTGCTGGATTAAAAAGAGTAATTTTTTAAAGAATTAATTCAACTTTCTAAACTCAAATGGTACCTGAATTGAAAAAGTAAGTTGAAGGAAGCCATGACTTTAGGAAAAAAAAACCACCAGTAAGTATTTCCCTAAATTTGTAGTTTCACTGAGTCAAAGAAAATAAAATGAAAAAAAAAATAAAATTATGTGTGTGTTGAGCAGTGGAAAGAGATGAGCATGGGAATACTGTTTCAAACTGTATTTCTTCTAAATTGGGGGGGAAAGGCAAGGAGAAAGGGAAAACAAATACTCAAATCTAGGAGTTTTACATACTCTTTAATTCTGCAGTCAATAAGTTACAAACGGTAATGGGACCTTAAAACGACAAAGAACATCCCAGCATAGTTTGCTTAATTAAGACACTATATTACAGTAAGTATTTGTGGAATACACACTGATATACAAAACTTGCCTACTAGTGGAAGTTCATACTACCTAAGTAGCAGCTGCAGAACCCATCCTTGCACAGCAGGGAAAGCCTCACAGCACTGCTACACTTAACATGGGAAAAAACAAAATAGTTCTTTTTTCTTAAATATTAAGTGATTAAAGACAAGCAAAATCAACCAAAGAACGGAAATCAGTTAAAACATCTAAATACGGGCTAAATGCAGTTAGTTGTTAGTTTACAGGAAAAAGAAAAGCTAAGTATTGTAAATCAGGGATTGCTTTCAGTACACTTAAACTCCCAAGTTAAGAACTAATTAAACTTCCTGGTGTCTCCCGCCTACTGGTTTCCTCACCTGGAGGAGTGCATATACCACTTCTTGTGATGCCATAAGTTACAACCAAAGCAGAAGAGCATTTTGGAAGAAATACAAATGATGCAAAGGACTGGGGATTATAGAAACCATTTACTTTATTACATTGGTCAGTATTTGCAGCCCAGTATTCCAAAGTCCTGGAAATATCTGTTCCTACCAATTATATATCCATTATCTCCATGTTGAGACTACCTGGCTGTAGGGATCCTAAATCTGCCAATCTCATTTACAGACAAAGGAGGGCATCATCTCTGGTGGTAACAGAAAAACACCTCCAGCACACAGCCTTATGCAGACACAGGGAAAGTCTAAAAGCCACTGTAAGATCAGAAACCCTCTTTGCAACAAAGTTTATTTCTGACAACAGTCCTTAGGTGTATAGTTAGGAAAACTAAAAGAGCATTACTTTTATTATACATCTCTGAGTTTCTGGAATCTCCTGATTAGCAGTTTCCCAAGCTTGACAAGGCATCCTTGTGTTTGATTTCCATCAGTTCAGGGGAGTTATGTTTCCTGATAAGTTTTACATACTTTTGTACGTAACATCACCAAATATATCTAAATTTCACTATCAAGTCAATACTTAAATATCAGGTAAGCAGTTACAGTACCTTTTAAGTGAAGAAAATTACTATCTCCATTTTCCCTCTCTCAATCCCTACATCATTACTTTCAGTTTCTGTTGAATAGAAAAGCTTTTACCCAGAACACTTTCAGTTTCAGTTTAGCAGGGAAGTGTAAAATAATGTGTTGTGCTTGAGAAAGTCATCCAAACTTAGGACAGCAACCAAGAGTCAGGATAAATGGAAGAAAGAGGAGCCAGAGGTTAGAAGACAAGAGCTACGTAGTAAAAAAAATTCTATCTATGGCTTACTTCAACATTACATGAGCCTTAATTATACCACAATGGTTAACACTTTGTTTAAAGCCAATTCCCCTTCACCACACTTACTCACAAAATATTTTAAAATATGAGACTGGAAATGAGAACATAAATTGCTTCTATAAAGTGATTTGTAGTGTTTCTACAGTTTCTAGGAAATCAGCATCTAAAAACAGTCCTGTAGAAGAGAGTGATTACAATTCTCTAGAAAAAAAGACCAAACAGAAAACAAGACAGAAATCAAAGCTACAAGACTATGATCAAGTCCTGTAAATCTGTGCAATAAATATGTACACCTAAAATAATCTTCATCTCAGGGTTCGTAAAAGCATTCTAGAAATTCTGCACAGGTGAACATTTTCACTTACAAAAAGAAAAGGAAATAAAAACCCCACAAATAATACAAGTGCACAATAATCACTTCAATAATCATACAACTGTGGTGGAAAGCTGGTTTCCATTTTTTGTGGATTCTTTTTCTTGCAGAAGAAAAACAAATAGACCCGAACAGCGTTTGCTGTTATTCCAGTGCAGCAGTAAAGCCTCTACATCACCTTTACAGTCAGCTGATATATACACATCTATTAATGTGAGAGGCACAGACAGAGCTGATCTTGAGGACTTACTGCACACACCCTCCCTTTCACAACTGCTGGTTATGACAAAACACATTAAGTGTTTCCAAATGTAGGCTAGAGGAGAGATCAAAACATCATGTGCAGCACAAGACATTAGTTGGGGGGAAGCTGTGACAGGCAAGAACAGGCTCTTTGAGAGATATTTACCAACATACACTAAAAAAAAGCCTTTGAGACTTCATAATATCTTGGTAACTTACATGCACAGCTCATCACAAAGCTGATTGTTTTCATTGGACAGAATAAAAGAATCAGTGTGCTTTTAAGGAAAGGTCATTTTTAAACATTTAAAGAAGCTTCTCTTCTAATACACTATTTATTTAGACTCTAGACATTCTTAGTGTTCTTACATTAGTGCATTTATTTGCATACCCATTTGATATCTAGTAGTAGCATCTTAAAATATAGTCTGGGTTTTTCTCTAAAATTTCAATAATAACCGCTAAACTTGCCCCAGATAGTATAGAAGATATACAAGGACAAACACATATGAGGCTATTATTTACAAACTTGTGTTTAAAAAAAGAAACAGAAAGCCCACGCCAATGCTGTTGCTCAACTTTGTTTGCTCTGTGACAGTGCTCTGCTGTCACTGCATTCACCATTTCATCTCTGCTATGCATTTCCTCCATGTTGATCTACAAAAATATTCCTCCTCTCTCTAGCAAAGGTATGCTTTTCAGGCTCACTCTGCCAGGAAGACCTTAGGGACAGGGATCCAGTTCTTTACCACCTGAAATGTTATAAAATATCAGGATGATAATATTCTTTATTCTAAGAGGCCTCTGTATACATCCTAAGTCTTTTCCTCTGTGAAAGATTGAAAAAGATTGCCTTATGCAATGCAATTTTGCTTTACTCCTTCTCCGACAAATAAGCCCTTCCGTGTTCTAAATAATTTCATCTGGAGCAGTGTTTCCACTTCTTTCAAACAGCAACACAAAGCACCTGCAGCTCTCCCTACATCCAAATCAAACATTTATATCAGGCCCTGATCTGCCAGGGCTGAAACAATAATCTAACATTTCCTCCCAGCGATATGGAGATCAAGAGAATCTTTTTTGATTATGGTACAGATTTAATACAAAATTCAACACAGACAGTCTCAAGAGTGTTGAGTTTCTTTCAGGGTGCCAAGGGTCACAGATGGTTTATTTTTCAAATGGCATTGTTTCTGAACAGGTGTTTACTGCTCTGGTTTACTATGACAACCACTCATGTTATAGAATACACATAATATCTATTTGTCAGGATCCCTTTGTTCGAGCAATTACAATGCTCTCTAGAGGAAGGCCACCAACCAGTATCTCTGCCTTCTTGTAGCCATACTAGTCACAACACATTTTCAGATGTTACAGGAGGAAAAAACATTAAAATTATTAATATGCCATTCAAAAAGGCATATTTTTAAGAGTTAATTACTGTAACAGTTCAAGAATCAGAAGAGACATTTTACAAATAATATTACTAATTCCATGGAGAATTACATCTTCTTCCTCTTCCCTTTTACTGGCTGTACTAGTATCCTACACTACTAGTACATTTTTGGAAGTGGAGCACTACAGTTCTGGCGGACATTGCTTATACCTTTTATGTGCTGCTGTATTCATATTTTCTCCTCCCCTTACCCACCAACAGGAATGAAGGAGTCCAGTGACATAAAGAAAGACGTAAAGACTACCCCAAATCTGGAATGCACATAGATAAGCACCAAAACTTTGTACCACGCAACTTCACAAAAACACGCAAAGCAAGCTAATGCAAAAGCAAATCAGTATTTTCATGCTGACAGAAAACAGAGGTTTATGACCACAGCTAAGAGGCCAAATAAGCCCTCTGCTCAGACCATTAAAAAAAAAAAGCCCTGCAGTATGACTGTTCTGTTTCCTGCAGGAAATGAGATGCTTGTATTAGATACCCCTGTGGTTTTCATACTGTAAATGTATCAGCTGGTACAAATCCTCTGGAGAGGACTATTAACTAATGCTTAGAAAGAGCAGTGGCAGCAGCAGACCACACGTAGCACCTCAGAGAAGAGGGGACAAAAGCTGACAAATCATCCTTAAAAAAATCTGAGAGCCAACAGCTGAAGAACACATCTTGTAGTTGAGGCGATGCCTGAGGAATGTGCATACCTACACCCGCTTATTTCCCCTTATTCCGCTCGCTGATTCTTTAAATAAGGAGCCTATTGCTCATCAGCACTCCTCTCATTTAGGAGCCTCAAGCCCCCTGTAGCGCTCCTCACTAAGCCATTCCTGGTCACACGCAGCAGAGTAGAACCATCCACAGGCTATACACACCTTGTGCATGGCCATTTTTCCTCCTTTCTACTGCGGGTTTTTTTTTTCTCTGGGTCAATGTTTCTGAGCGAACTTCCCGCCCCGGGGGCGATGGGAGCAGCCCCCGGCCCGGGCAGGGCTCCTGTCCCCGGGCAGACCCCGCCGCTTCCCCTCCCGCATCGCTCCCGCTCGCCGGCCTGGGTGGAGCCGCTCGCCCTCGCAGGACAAGCGCCGATCGCGTTCTCCATTGCAAAACCACTGCCAGAGCCAGAAGGGAGGAGGAGAGACGAGGGGGAGGAGGAAAGGAAAAGAAGGTGTAAACCTGTCTAAGAGAAAGCCCGGGGACGGCCACGGCCGGGGGGCGGGAGGGCAGGGCCGGGCCAGGGAGAGGGCAGCGGGGAGACAAAGGAGGGATGGAGGGTGCCCAAAGAAAATAGGGGAAGCCGCGGAGGGGGCGCTGCCGGGGAGCCCCGCGGGGCACCTGCCCGCCCCGGCACACCCCCGCATACACACACACGTACCGAGCAGCAGCAGGCGGTGCGTCTGCTTGTACTCCCGCTTCTGTTCCTTGAGTGCCCGGTCGATGCTCTTGCTGACTTTCCTCGCCTCCTTCTCCGCCTCCCGCTCCTCCAGGCGCAGCTTCTCCCAGGTCCTCTGCAGCGCCGGCGGCTGGTGCAGCGCCTGCTGCCGTGCCGCCTTTCCCCCGCCGCCCAGGCCGGGGCCGCCGGCCTTGGGCAGCGCCGGCTGCCGCTCGGGGGCCGCCCCGTTGCCGCCGCCGCCGCCGCCGTTCTGCAGCAGCAGCGGCGGCCCGTCCGTCTCCCCGCCAGGCTTACCGCCGGGCCGGAGCGGGACGCCGAGAGGCTGCGGCTGCGGGGCGGCGTGAGGCTCCGCCGGCACTTCGGGCTCCGAGGCGGCGCCGGCGCTGGAGATGGAGCCGCCACCGCCGGCGTCGCCGAAGAGCCGCGGGCGCAGGCTGTAGCAGAGCCCCATGGCTCGGTGCCGCCGCCGGGGACAGGCTGTATCGCGGCGGGGCTGGCCTCAGCGCTTCCCGCCGGCCGGGCAGGCGGCGGGCGGGGAAGGGGCGCCGCGGAGCCCCTCACGGCCCCGCTGGGCCATCTTGCATCTTCCTCCCGGGCGGCGGCGGCTCCTCGGCGCCGATCACCTGACACCGACCGAGCTGCCACCGCCGGGTCCACGTTACCGTAAATACCCCAGCGCCAGCCCACCGCGCAGCAACGCCGGGGGAAGGGCGGGGGCGCCCGCGCCCACACACAGGCGCACACACGCTCGCAGCCCCCTCCTCGTCCGCCCCTCCGCCCCCTCCCCGCCGCCTCGCCTCGGGGGTCGAGGGTCTCCCAAACCTCCCGCTCCGCGCCCTGGCTGGGAGACCCTCGCCCCCTCGTTGCCTACACCACCCACCCTTCTTGTTTCCTCCTTCCCTCCTTGTTTCCTCCCTTCTGGAAGGGCCGCCGTGCCGCCTGTGTGAGCCCCGGGAGGTGCACGCACACCTCCCCGAGGTTAAGCCCCTGACAGACAGACATCCTCTCCCCCGGCATCCCTGGGGAACAAGCCGAGGCGGAGGCCTCTCGCGGAGAGGGACCCGCACGGTGACATCGGCCCCGAAGAGGCCGAGGCAGCCCCCGCCAGCCTCGGCATCCTCGCAGCTACAACGCGACTTCCAGCCCCTGAGCGCACACACGCGGCTCTGCGCCCACGCGCTGACTAAGGATGCCGTGGGAGGAAGGCTTTGGGTGCGACGGTAGGAGAAAATAATAGGCAATGTTGGGGTTTGCTCGCTGTCTCAGGCAGTGTTGGCAGCAGTAGTACTCCAGCAGCGTGCTGCTGTGGGCTCTGGAAGGAAGGCTGGTGCTTGAAGTCAGACGGTTCCAGGGCACTGGCAGCCCTTCTCACGAGAAGTCCTGGACAAATTCAGGTTACTTGGAACGTGTCTCAAATAGGCTCTCCTTCTGCTTCATCCATCTCTATGTTCTTCATAAGCTCAGCAGTCCTTTTTCAGCGGCATGTGGCTGCTGGATGAAACAGTGTCTCTGAATATTAAAGCAAAGGTCCGATTGTGTGTTCACTCTTATGAGCGACGTGTACCTTAACATAATTTAGAGTCTCCTACTTCAGTAGTATCGACCACATTCAGGGACCTCTTTATTCATTGGATTCTGTAATGACCTGTCTTAGGTCATTGGTTTTGTCTTCTATTTTTTCCAGTGACCAATATTGTATTAATAGATACCACTATTTATATACTGCTGTATGATGAAATGGAAGGAGGTACAATTCTTGTACTTTATAATTTAACGAATTAGAGCAAATTGGGCATGGTTTTTAGTTTCTGGATATGGGAAACAGAATTGGTTTTGTGACAGATCTATTCGTGTCAAATGGTTTAGCAAACGTCCTGTAAAATATGTACTTACTAAGCAGTGAGTTGTGCGTTAACATTTACTGGGAAAAAACCCCAAACATCACCCTACCTAGGCATAAAATAAATATATACCTTTTAACTGAAAGCATCAACTGTCTGTGATTGCACCACACAAAGGAAATATATAAAGAAAATATTAGCAGGATCCAGCACACTGTAGATGTTCACTTATACTCTTCAAAATGCTTTCCAACTATTTGGACAGATGCCTTAGCTCCAAGAAGACCACCCCACAGCTGTTGCTTCTATTGTATGTTTTCATACATGACTCTATAGTGTACTGGTTGCGATCTTCTTGCAAAACATGTAAGCGGTTACATCGTAGCAGAGGATGTTTCACCACTATTGCAGCGCTGCTGTGCCTTCACTGGAAGCCTTTATGGACCACAGGAATATACTATCTTCTAGGCTGTGAGTGAAAGATTTCAGCTTTCAGCTGAAAACAGAGCGGTCATTGGGATCAGAAGAATCTGAATGTTCAATGTGGACTGAATAGCCAGGATCCTGGGATTAGTGGCTGTAAACTTTCCAATGTAATTGGATCACATAGGAGAATTCGCTACTCGTCCAACAATACAATAAAACCATGGAAAAAAACCCCAACCCAAAGTAGTGGTGAAAGTCAGGGATTTAATGCCCAAATGTCAATGCACATACCTAGTTTGTTGAAGCTGATCCACAGAGCTCAATGCATACAACAACATTTGCAGAATCATGAACTGCTTTTCAAATAGTGGAAGAAATGCCATAATCTGTCCAAATGAGTTCAGATTAGGTAAAATTTATTCTACTAAAGTGCTCCTGAGCATGTACAATGTATACTCAGTGAGTAAGAGGGAAGGTGAGTGATATATTCAGGGTTAGAGAAGAGACCTGGCAGAATATGCTCTGTAAAATCGCATGCTTTATAAATAATTTTGAAATAGCAACCAGTGTATTAACAACTATGGATAGGTAGCATCCTTGAACTGCCAAACACTGATATAGATGCTCTACCTTATCAAATGTCAAATAAAGTATGTTCATTGAAAGATCCTTCAGTGAGCTACAAGAGTAAATTGGATGTTTAGGGAGAAGTATTCCATGATTTTTTTCTTCGGACTTCTCATAAAGAACAATAAGTAGCCTGTCTTCTCTCTTTCCCCAGAAGAACAGTAATCATCCCTACTTCTGGATTACCATGGACTGAGATTTTCAAGAATTTCAAGCGAGAAAGTCAGTATGATGCAGTTTTCTGATCTGAATACTCTTTGGAGAATCTTTCATGGAGAAATGTTCAGCATTTTCTAGGGTTAGTCATCCAAACCAGAACTTAATGACTGGCTTTGTTTTTCAGTAATACTTATTAGCTATGATTCTCATTGTGGTAACTGAAATTAGAGCCATAAAATCATAGAACAGCTCAGGACTGTTCTCTGGGGGAGGGATCCTTAAAAGTTCCTCTTGTCCAACCTTTCATGGGAAAGGTAACCTATTACCTTGTTTAGCCATATCCTGAAAACCTCCAGTGCTGGGGATGTTGTTCTAGTGAATGGTTGCTCTGTCTTTAAAAAAATTATTTCTTACATTGAAATGAAATGTGTCCTGGTGCAACTTGCACTCGTTGTCTCTTGTCTTCTCCATATGGCTCCATTTGGTGCTCCTCTTTTCTCTTTGTGACTACCCTCTAAATACAATAATACTGTGATGATGTTCCTCTTGAGCATTCTCTTCTCCAGGGAGAAGAGAAGGTCCTTCCTGAGCCTTCTCCAGGGAGAAGAGACCTAAGTCCTTTGATCTCCTCACAGGGTGGGTTCTCCAGCCCTTGGACCATCTCTGTGGCCCTCTCTTGGACCCTCTCAAGTCCATCCACATCTTTTTGAATTGTGGGAACAGCTAATGAATATTTAGATCTGAACTTGAAGTAAAACACTTTAAACTGCTTTTTGTTTCTTGCTTTTAATATATAGTTCTACCTAAGAAATAAATAATTAGATGTGGTATCCAGTCATATGCAGCAGCAGGGTAGGTCCATGAGATGGCTCTACTTACTCCTAGGAGTAATACAAGTCTAGAAAATAAACCTATAAATATTATTCCTATGAAGAAGTGTCTTCCCTGTTTCTTAAAAAGGAGTGGAAATTATGCATTTACTGAACACTCATATGAAAATGTATTGTGTTCTTTTCCCAGTTTTATAATAATTTTGATTTGATAATATTTACCTATACTATGTAGCTTTTTGGGATTTATACAGTGTTCCAAGTTTTAACCAAGAAATAAGTTTTTGATCAAACTCAAACAAATGTAGTAAATGCAGTTGCCTTGAAAATGTAACTGTGTGGGAATTAAAGAGATTCAGTTAGATGAATCTGTAAGAATTGTGACACAGCAAGGATCCTAAAGACAAGGAAAAGCTGTTCTGGGGCTGGATATTTGTTCCTTTTCTTGTTCTGATTAGTCACTGTATCAGTCAATGAGTTTATTCTGACTACAGTTTTGCCATATTGTTTTTCTATATCTTGGTCAGTATAATGCTATGAGGTCAGAACCTATAAACCCAGAACCTGCAGTGAGATATTTTTTCTAAATTATTTTGATATATTTTCCTCAAGCTTTTTCAGGAACTCAGTGATGATTAAAGAGGAAAGCTATGCAATAGAATAAAAAAAAAAAAAAGTAGAAAAACATGCTGTGGCAAGTACTAGATATTTGAAAAACTCCTGTCGAGGTTAATTTTCCTCGCGGATAAAGGATCTAGGATTTATCCAGGGATTTATCAGATGATGAACATCTCTTTTCTTCTTTGATAGGCACTTGTCAAAAGCCTACTTGCTTCTTGTGGGACAAATACTATTAATCTTGTTCTTAAGATTTACAATAAACACTAGTATGCCTGTGCTGCCCTACTGTATCATTGCTAGTATATGGGAAGAAGAAAATACTGCTCTTTGATACATGCTTTGCTCTCTAAAGGCTGGAATCTATGTTGCTGATAGAAAATTTACCAGTAAACACAACTACAATAACAAATCTCTATGTGAAATGTACAGAGATTAGATAAGTCTCCTGATTTCCTACAAATCTCAAGTCATCCAAAGACAGAAGACCACTCAAAAGACAGAAAACTGTCTCTTTTTCCATGGTCTTCTTTACAGGACACTGCAGGATTTATAACTCGTCCCTCCTACACACAGAGACACAGATACAAACTCTCCCCATCCCCCCTCACTGTTTTCACAGAACTCCAACCTTCACCACAAATTTTATATACCACTTTTACTGGCTGCTTGAAGATTTTTAAAGTGGAAAAACAAGCCTTATAGTGGGAATTCAGCTACAAAAGTAATAGCTGTAGAGCAACAGTTATTCAAACCTAATTTTATCAAATCATCTCTCACTCATCACCATGGTATTTTTTTGCAACTTCTCATATCTGAGCATGATAGCAGTAAAACCATCTACCACTTCTTTTTTGGAGAGCTTCTTTCATATAAATACTGTTAAAAAAATAGCAGCCCTTAGAGTAGTCTCCTTAAAGTGTCCTGATGAAAAAAAGGATATAGGTTTATCAAAAGTGGGGCCATTAGTGCCACTTGTATTAAAGTTGCCTTGTACCTCCCATTGTTAGACAGTATTTGTCTTTGCTTAAAACTGTACAAAAATGGGATTTGGTCTAGAGTTCAGCATCTGTGGAAAGAAACCTGTCTCAACATGAATGTTTTTGTTTGGTTTAACTTCCAAAATAAATCAGCCATTTTCACAAATAGTTTAATGAGAAACATACTGTTGCCATGT